CAGCGCCATATAAGACTCGGGGTGGCGGCCAGGGCTTCCGGGGCGTCCAGCCTGCGCCGCGGCCAGCGCCCGCCGACGTCCCTGTCTTGCTGTTACTTTCTGCCCTCCTGACCAGGCCTTGAATGGGGGGGGCGGTGGGGGGCAGCTGACCCTCCCCAGAGGCTCTGGAGACTCCGCGGCCAGCAGGAGCTTCTGGGGCTCTTTCTGCCCTGCCCAGGCCAGAGGCTCCGCCCGGGGCGCCCCGTGGACATTTCGCCCCAGGAGAGGGGCTGAGATAAACCGCTGGAATGCGAGTCCCAGTCCCAGCGGCTGGGCTGGGGGGAAGGGTCAGCGGCGGGAGGGGACTTTGTGCGCTGAGGCCGGTCAGGGCCGCTCGGGCTCTGGTCCGCAGCTGCCCGGGACGGAGGGAGGAGGGAGGGTCGCGGGTGGGCGCTGGCCGCTGGCCGGCACGCTGTGTTCCCGGGGAGGAGGCCTGCACGGCTCCCCGGGCCAGCAGTGGCCAGTGCGGAGGCCGCTAACGGCCTTTGAAGCCGTTGGGGACGAGCCGGGACGAGCCCGAGCCCGACGTGCAGGCCCCGGGCGTCTTCTAACCACCGGCACCTTCTTCCGCCGCTTCCCGTCCTTCCGTTTGCCGGGGCGCGGGGCGGAGACGCTGGCAGACGCCGAGATGGCGCCCCCGACACGCTCACGCTGTGCCCCTCGAGTCTGTTTTGGGGTACATGACCAAGCAGCTGGCCTCTCCCGGAGGCGCGAGGGCCAGCACTTGGGACGGCCCCCCGAGAAGGGCTCCCTGAAGGCCGGCGCCGACGGGAACGGGGATGCTTGGGACTCCGGACAGAGGAGGCTCGAGGGGTGACTCTCCCTGGGGGGCAGCGGGGTGGGGTGCAGCACTGCAGGCAGCCGCATCAGCGTGCCAGGGGGTGACCCGCAGGGCACGGCAGACCCCTCCTGACCCGCCCGCTGCTCCCCTCAGCAGTGGGCTTCCGCTAGCTGCCTGTCCTGCTCCCCGCTCTGTCTCTGGGGAGCCCTCTCACCGCCCCTGCCCCTCTGGCCTGCACCCTGGTTCTGAGTACATCAACCCATAAATCTTTAAAAAAAAAACAAAGAGACACGAACGTCCTACATCCTTTTGGACGATTTCTAGACCATTCCCCGTCTCTTCCAAGCCACGTCCATCTATGGGGTGGCCTCGAGGAGCCCAGGGGGCACCCCAAAGCAGGATCGGGCTTTGCCCGTGCCTTTCCCGGCACCCGGGTCCTTGCACAGCGAGGGGAACCCCAGGGACACCCACAGGGCCTCGTGGAGCCCGTGCTCCGGGGAGGGGCCTGCGGAGGTCTGGCCGTGGTGCCCAGAGAGGGCTCGGTGGGGAGCAGCCACGTGAGGGACGAGCGGGAGCAGTCGGGGCCGGGGGCAGCGGGGCTGACCCTGAGACTCACGTCTCCGGACCTGCACTGCCCCGGGTTACTGTGCAGCGAGCCCCAGACATCCTATCATCCCATCAGTAAATATTTCAGCGTTTTACTAGCATTTTGCTGGAAGCAGGATGAATTATACAGGTCGCAGCGTGTTTCGAAAACAGCACAAAACCCAGGGATCTTGGCACGCTGCGAACATCAGCCGACGGCTCGTCTATCCCCAGGTCTACTTCGGTCAACAACACCCCAGCCCAGCGCCTCCCCCCTTTTTTTGGCGGTGGTGGGGGGGCGTCGGTGGCTTGGCACGTGGGCCTGGGGGAGTGTCGGAGCCCAGAGTCGCCTCCTCTGTTCTGCGTTCAACAGAGGCCGGGGTGGGACCTGGCGCGGGCGG